TCCTCCTGCCGTTTTGGTTGCTGCTGCTGCTGCAGCTGCTGCTGTCGTCGCTGCTTGTGCTGCTGCCGCCATCGCTGGGCAAGCAAAAGTAGTCCTTGAAGTTTTGCAGGAGGTCTTCTCTACTGAAAACCCTAAACCCTAAACCCTAAACCCTAAACCCTAGGGAAAAAGTACCTCGAACTTGAGGACTGCTCCTTTGTTGTTGTACACGTCGCAGTAATTCGGCGCCGAAAATATCGTAATGACCTGCACCAAAAACCCTAAAACCTAAACCCTAAACCCTAAACCCCAATCCTAAACCCTAAACCCTAGCCGAAACCCCCAAACCTCAAAGCCCAAACCCTAAACCCTAAACCTTAAACCCTAAACCCTAAACCCTAAACCCTACCGTGGGAAACCCTGTTTGAGGTTTGTTTGGTGCATCCTGTAGCCCTCGAGGTAATCCCCCGCCCCAACCCAAACCCCAAACCCTAAACCCTAAACCCTAAACCCTAAACCCTACCGTGGGAAACCCTGTTTTGAGGTTTGTCTGGTGCATCTTGTAGCCCTCGAGCTGGGCCTCGTGGGCCCTCAAAATTGACAAAAGTCCATTTCGATCTAAAAAGGAACTTGCGGCGGAGTAGGCGAAGAAAAAAGAACAGCCCCGCACGTCGTTGGGGATAAACGCGCCTGCGCAAACCCTAAACCCTAAACCCTAAACCCTAAACCCCAGGGGCCCGCAGGCGCGCAACGGCACGCTGAACTACTCGCCATGCGTGAAACCACACAACGACGAGGCTTCAACACAAACCCTAAACCCCCAAACCCCGAGGCCTGTTCGTGTCGCTGCAGCAAACCCTAAACCCTAAACCCTAAACCCTAAACCCTCAGAGCAAGGCCCCCGCTGCTGCGATCTCCCAGGGCCCTTTCCCCAGGGTTTAGGGTTTGGGGCTCCAAGCGCGTAGAGGCCCGGGGCTTCAACCCCGGGGCTCGGCGCCTCCTAGCGCCTGGGGCTTAGGGTTTAGGGTTTAGGGTTTAGGGTTTAGGGTTTAGGGTTTACCGTCGACGCTTTGCGCGAGCTGAGCGTCTGCATCTTCTTTTGCTTCGTCGAGAGGATCCGCCCAAAGCAAGTCGCAGAATAAACCTCCTCTTGGGGGTTCCTGAAATCTGTTTATGCCTCCTATTTGGCTCAGCTGCGCGCAAACCCTAAACCCTAAACCCTAAACCCTAAACCCTAAGCCCTGCAGGGCGGGGTAGCATCGAAGACCAGCGGGGGGAATACGAAGCCAAACCACTGCTGCGACATACCCCTTACGGCCCCGAAAAGTGAACCCTAAACCCTAAACCCTAAACCCTAAACCCTAAACCCTAAACCCTAAACACTCACCACCTTGAGCTCCGGGCTCAGACCCCCATGAAGTGCGAGGAACTTGCCGTTGATGACTGCCGCGAGTGGCAGCGAATCGAAGCTCTAGGGAAAAGCAACGCAAACCCTAAACCCTAAACCCTAAACCCTAAACCCTAAACCCTAGGCTCTGCAGACCCCCACCCAAAAAAGCGCAAACCCCCGAGCGTGCGGGCCGCGCGGCGGCGCGAGCGTGCAAACCCTAAAACAGGGTTTGAGGGCTCGCGCGGGCAAACCCTAAAAAAGGGTTTGGCGTCTCGCGCTTGCGAGCCGGGCGCAAACCGCAAAAAAGCGTTTGGGCGCTCGGGGGCGCAAACCCTAAAAAAGGGTTTGGGCTGACCTCCATAAAGGCGTAGTAAACCTCCATGTCGAACTTGCACTCGCACTCATCTCGGAAATTAAAAAAACATGTCATTTGTCTACACTCGTGATTTCCGCGCAGCAGCCAAACCCTAGAAGGGTGGTTTAGCTTCAAGACAAACAGCAGCAGCAAAACCTCGATTGAGAAGCTCCCCCGGTCCACGTAGTCCCCCAGAAACAAGTACCTGCGCCGCAAACCCTAAACCCTAAACCTTAAACCCTAAACCCTCGCAAACAACCGAACTGCCGACGGAAAGCGCGCACAAAGAGACGCGCTTCTTGCGCTCCAAAACTCAAACTAGGGTTTAGGGTTTAGGGTTTAGGGTTTAGGGTTTGCGTACTGGGTTGTGTCGGGGTCTCCGCCAACATCTAAGAGTTTCAGCAAGTCATAGTACTGGCCATGAATGTCCCCAACCACTGCAGCACACAAACCCTAAACCCTAAACCCTAAACCCTAAACCCTAAACCCTAGCATAAGAGCGATCCATCAGGCGGCCCGACGACCTGCCCCACTCTCGCCGCCGCGCCGCGCGCCCCCAACCCCAACCCCCAACCCCCAACCCCCAAACCCTA